CCGGCCGCCTGCCGGCGGGGTACCCCCGGCTGCCGCCGCGCGGGCCTGCAGCTGCTCCCCGCCCCGCGTGTCGCCTCTTCAGGTCGGAGCTGCTGCGTTCGTTAATTTGTTCCTCATGAGAGTCCATCTTAGCTCTGCGTCCAGTCCCATCTCGTGTGCGTTTCCAGACGCTCCTGCTTTGTCCCTGGCCCCTGCCCTGCGGTTCAGTGTTGGGGGGGAAATAAAAACTCCCCGACAACTAATCCTGCCTCAGTTAACCTGCAGCCATTAATAATTTCTGAGCGCTCATCTTTTCTGTAACTTAATTGTAGTGATTTAGCGCTTCCAACCTAAGCAGTGTTCATTTATAGGTAATAATTGGTGTCCCAGATGGGCAGGCCTTGACTGAAGCGGTGGAGTAGTTTATCATGGTAGGGGAATCTGATTATTGTGGAAGTAGAGTGGTATAGAATACGAGAGTCGAACTATAAGGTTGATAAAGAAATAAACCAGTTATTATGATTGCAAAGCTTTCTTTTGTGGTCTGGAAGTAAAGCAGTGGGCCTAATTCTCCTTTTTGGGAATGTTTTGCAGATACCTGTCTTGTCTGGAATGAATTTAAAATGCTACTGCTAGGCTGAGATAGCAGTCAGTACCTTCCACCCACTTCATTTTGTCTTTCCATCCTGGATAAAGGCAGCCCGCTGGGAGACGCAGAGGTTAGGCCTGCCTAGGCCTTGTCTCTGTTCATTTAACTGAAATGGAATGGACTGTTTTGATTAGCCAAATGTATAACTTTAAGCTTTCTTAAACTTAGTTTGAATCGTTTTAGCTTTCTTTGGCAATATACTGAATGAAGGTAACCGAATTAGAGATAGCAAATCTACTTAGCCAAATTAGTAGAAATGCACTTAAAGAGACAAGGCTCTGGAAAGATGGTGGATATTGGTGGTGCCACATTTGTCATTTTATTGTTGTTCAAATGCCAGGAATCCCTTTGGCTTCGATTTTGAAAAGTTTGCTTAGTAGTTTGACTAGGTGCCCTTGAAGCCACAGAATATTTTGCCATTGATATTGACTGTTAAGAAAGTAGTTCCTAAATCTGCTTAAAATCTAAGGGAGGAATTCAGTATGCGCATGTTGAAATAATTTCTCTTGGCATCTTTAGGCACCTTGCATTTGGTCTATTTTCCTTGTCTCCAGGAATTTAAAGGTTTATTCTGCAGGATATTTTCTATCTTCTGATTTTTTTTGACAACAATGGTTAAAAATGGAGCGATAACACTAAATTTTGTGAGAGGCAATAAAGCTGAGTTTAAAAGGAGATTGTCAAGGGATGTACTTGTACAATGGCAAAGGAGAAGAAATAGCTCCTTTGTGGGAACTGAGAGGATGTCTGGAACATGTCCAACGTTCACGTTGTAGAAAGTACATCAGACTGTGCTAGGAGACATCAGGTGGCAAGGGTTTTAAGGATCCATCTTGGAGTAAGAAAATGGATTATAAGACCACAGGATAATTCACATGAGAAGGGACTTCAGGAGGTGTGAAGGAGGATCAGCTCTGAGGCCAGACCAGGTTGCTCAAGGCTTTATCCAGTCAGGTCTTGAAAACCTCAAAGGTTGCGAAGACTGTACAGCCTCTCTGCGCAACCTGTTCCAGGGCTTGATTGTCCTCATGATAAAAAAAGCTTTTCCCTGTATCTAGTCAAAACCTCTCTTGCTTCAATTCCCATAAGAAGCGTGTTTCTGTTGTTGGAAATAGTTTTTGCCATGTAGGACCTGATATCTCGGGGGCACTGAGGGCTTCCAGTTTCTAGGACATCAATAGAAGTAGCGTGTCCTTTGTGCCAGTTAGGCTCCTGGTAATAGCAGTCAATTTTGACCTTATGATCGTAACAGGGGGATGATCTCAGCTCTGTTCTTAAACAGTAGCGAATAGCAGTGGTAGAAAGGGAGATTCATCAGTTGTCTTCCAGCTGGCTTAGGTATCAGTTGTGTAACAGTATGGCTCTCGTGTATTTACCTGCCTTGGGGCAAGCTTTGTGGCCTGCCCGTGCACTATCTAAGCTGACAAGTTTAGTGGTAGCCTGGGATATTTTTACCATTCTGTTGTGACTTCACTGTAGACATACTTCTTAAAGGCTAATAAAACATTACAATGTCAGTACAAGATGAACTTTAAAAGGTGTTTCTGCTCTTTCCTTTTCTACCATTTAAAAAAACCCAACAATTTGCAAAGTTAAAAAGTAATCAGTGTTCCTGCT